GAAAAGATCTTAGTGTAAATCATTACTGTCAGAATAAAAAGTATTCAGATTTAAAAGTGCTTCTCAAGTCTTCTCAAGTCACAGGCCTTAAGTCCGAGTCAAGTCCATTTTATCAAGTCAAGTCTCAAGTCCTAAAAATAGTGATTCAAGTCTGACTCGAGTCCAAGTCACGACTTTAAAATCCCCATCTCTGCTCCTGATGAATTATTTCACACGTTTGCATCATCAACATCCCTCTGTCACAGAAAGAACACACATCTTCCACTGAGTCATGTCTTGTAATCTGCACTTACAGTTTATGCAAATGAGCCATGAGGTTTTAAGTTTCGTTTCTGTAAAACATAAACAAATGTGTCAAAGCTGCTTTAAATACATTATAATGTCAAACAGCTGATGTGGCTCTACAGTGGTTATGGATTATATGTTGTTGTAGATTAGTAATAGTAATAATAATGATCATTTTAATATAAAATGTTAATGATTAATTGAAGACCTGGTTTGAACCTGCTGTAGTTCTGGTTCAGTTCTGGTTTAGTCCTGTTTTAGTCCTGGTTCAATTCTGGTTTAGTCCTGGTTCAGTCCTGTTTTAGTCCTGGTTCAGTCTTGGGATCACTCCTGGTTTAGTCTTGGTTTAGTTCTGGTTCAGTTTTGGTTTAGCCCTGGTTTAGTCCTGGTTCAGTCCTCCTGGTTCAGTCCTGAGATCACTCCTGGTTTAGTCCTTGTGTAGTCCTGGTTCAATTTTGGTTTAGTTCTGGTTTAGACCTGGTTTAGTCCTGGTTCAGTCCTGGTTCAGTTCTGTTTTAGTCCTGGTTCAGTCTTGGGATCACTCCTGGTTTAGTCTTGGTTTAGTTCTGGTTCAGTTTTGGTTTAGCCCCGGTTTAACCCTGGTTTAGACCTGGTTTAGACCTGGTTTAGTCCTGGTTCAGTCCTTGTGTAGTCCTGGTTCAGTTTTGGTTTAGTTCTGGTTTAGACCTGGTTTAGTCCTGGTTCAGTTCTGTTTTAGTCCTAGTTCAGTCCTGAGATCACTCCTGGTTTAGTTCTGGTGTAGCCCTGGTTCATTTCTGGTTTAGTCCTGGTTCAGTCCTGGTTCAGTCCATATGCGGTGCAAAAGTACGTCATCTCTGTCAGTGTTTCTTCTGCTCAATAAATAACTCCTGTGAAGTGATGACGGATTTTTGACAGTAGTAGTCACAGTATCTGGTGCAGGACTCTGGTATGATGTAAGTTTCTGTGACGTTTACAAATGTTCATGTGCACTGAAACTTGATTTGAAAAAAATTGTGGATGAAATCGAAATCGCAACATCTGCCAGAAAAATCACAATTAAATTTTTTTCTTAAAATCGTCTTACTATCTTCAACCAAAGCCTGTCTATGTTTCTCACCATTACAAAATTCACCTTCACCAACTTTCGCAGATGTATTACCTTAGACTTGAGACTGAATGTTTTTAAATTTTGCATAATGGGATTTTCCAAACCATTAAATTCAGTTGGCAGTCACTTCAATAGTAATAGATGAAATTAATATTGTAGTTTGGCCTAAATCCACAACCATTCTCCCTATACCAATAAGTCTTATATAAAAGTACAGAAGTTGCTCCCTCATTGAGCTGTGTGAAACCTTGTGAGAGCGTACAGGAAGTGCTCTGCCTGTGCCCTTGTTTTGCTTTTGTGCATGTGCACCGTTCACTGACAAAACAGAAGCATGGAAAATCACACATTCAACAAGCTGCAAATTTTTGTAATCTGCTCAAGGTGACTGTGAGAATACTGACATGTTTTTTATCACCCCCCACAACTCGCCTTCTCTCGCTCGCCTCTACTTGTGAGGCTCATCCGTTAGCTGGCTGAAAGTGACACAATGAAGTCTTTGAGTGCGATTGGAGGGAGTGAGAACTGTCCAAAAGCACAAACTGGGCCTTTGACAGCGAGTGAGAGGAGCAGAAGAGGGACTGATCGACTTGACAGAAATGAGTGGGCCAGAGGAAGTGCTCAGGCCTCCGACTCAAGCTGCTCTTTGAAACTAAGATGTATTATGATGCAACGAATACATGCCTATCAAAGCTGTGATCGGGACCATGAGAATTTAACAAGTGTGTCAGACATAAAAGATTTGAGTGTTCAAGTCTGTGTAACGGGGGTCCACCTGGAGATGTTATCACTTTGTCAGAAACACAAACACAGTCCTCAGTTATATTTTTTATTGCAAGTTACATTTTGTAGAATAAATTGTACTAGCCAGAGAGTTGAAGAGAAGAGGCATGAAGCAGGAGAAGTTTATTCACCCTTTAATATACCAGTACGAGACATGATAGTATAGGTCCATTCTAGTCTAATACAGCACAGTCTGGCTATACTTCTGTTGTAGGGAGTATTACATCTCTGATAACATACGCCAGATAACAAGGACTGAGCTGGCAGTAACTTCGCTAGATAACAGAGAAATTGAACTTCCCCAACAATACATTCTTACAAGGAACAGGCTTGCTTTTCCACAGATCTGATCTGTATCTTGGCCTGGTGGAGTCAGCTGGTTCTTTCCATGGAGGTGGACAACTTAATTGAAATACCCAGGAATGTTCTAGGAGAAACAAGAACATCTTCTTGGAGACAAAAAGTTGATTTGTATACAGTTAAGATGGGCACAACGTGAATTATTCTTGATTTGTCTGTACTCTTTCATCAGCCGGTTTCACTTTGTGGAAACTGTCTGACCTCACAGCATTAGAATTCATTTGCTCGACGGTAGGTGGGTACTTTTTTTATTTAACCAATCGCTGCTATTTGGTCATGACGTATGTAATGTGCCAGAACACTCAGTGGTGTACAAGTAATTGCCGGCACAACAGTAAACAAAGCAGAGAGTGAACATCCTCAATCTCGAGAATCATTACAAACACAGAATGTATGTCTTCGTCTACATCCATCTCAACCGCTTTGTTTACTGTTCTGCTGTACCACAAAAGGGACCCAGACAGGCGCTTGAGTTTGACTTTGTGGCTTCACAGCTCTTCGCTGATTGGGCGGTGTAGTGTATTCTGAGCCCAACTGACCACTGCCCACTGTTTTAACTTATATAACACAGGTAAGACCCAAAGCTGTTACCTGTCTGTCCTGTTAATCTGATGAATATTTCAAAGTCTACTTCATCTGCCAGCATTTAGTGAGCTCCACTCCAGCCCTGGGGTCAGAAGTCTGTGGGGAGAAGGGAATCCCCACTGTGAGACCAGCCCTTTCGTGTCCGGATCAAACCAGAAACATGCCTTTGAAACCTGACAACCTCAATGCGTAGACCTCAGCTGCACTTAAGACAACTCCACCGGGCTTCACAACCAGGATTTCCCCCAAACTTTCTTCATAGTAGTAGTAGTAATGATCTGATGGTGGAGTAATTCATGGAAAGTCAATTGAATCATGCTTCAATCCAATCTGTCCGGTTATAAGTTATAGCCACAGTGATCGCAGGATTCAAAGTAGTGCATCAGAAATAAACATGAGCTTACTCTTGAACACAGTATCTCAGTTCAAATGCTCTTTCCATTGGGCCTTTCAGAACTCACAGCGTGTAAAAAGTATGAAATATCTTTTTCTGAGTACAGTTCCAAATAGATTCTTGGGATATCAAATCAATGTGTTTTTATTGAGCCCAAACACAGCAGCAGCAGTCACTTCACAGCTTATCTGGATCTTAATAGCAGCTCTGCAAAAATAATAATTCATATACGCTGACATTTACTGAAAACATTCAAAGTAAACTAAAAACATACAGTTGGAAAAAGGCCATTTGAGCATTTTGAGTGGTTTCTTGAGTCACTTTGGGGGAATGTGTGGAGGACTGGGGATGGTTAGCGAGGGGATGGGGGGGTGCAGAGTTTGAAGGCCTGAGGCTGTGTTCCACTCTGAATAGATGGAGATCATTTTCAGGGTGGCGTATGCATGCCTCACATACCAGGCCTATGACATGTTTGTGTGTGTGCGTATGGGCTGGCTCTCTGCGATCCAACCTCTGGGAACAATGACAGCTAAGAGACATATAGATGCACAAAGAGATGCTTCATGCGGATAAGTCACTTTCATCAAAGGAAACCATAAATTCCACTTAATTAAGTCATGTTCGAGCAGTCATGAGGCCACTTGTGGGAAAACACTGTTAAAAAGCAGCCAAAAATGTACTCAAGTATTTTAAAGTGCTGTTACTGGAAAATAATAGGACTCAAGTAGGGCAAATACAAAGTAGTCCAAATCATTACTCAGTTAAGTAGGCTTTTAAACTGAACACATATAGTTGGACATATGGTTTCTAATCCACTGACAATAATAAAGGATACATTTAGGTATTTTCAGAGGTTGGATGCAAAATTATAAATCAGTTCCTCTCAACATTTAAGCCTACAACTGCTCAAATAGCCTATAGGAGATATTTTGTCTAAAAGGTCTGTCTTATGTAGTCACACATTTTTGTCCCATGACTCTGGAAGCCGTCCATAACCAAGCTTAAAAGAAGTGACATTTGACCTCCGCTGAATCACACGAGGAATACTTCACATCCAAGATCCCAAAAATGTGGTGTGAGTGCGTGTGACTGTCCAGGCCATAGTGGGCAGCTCGTGGTCCTTCTGCTGTGAGAAAGCAGGGTCAGTGCCAATGCAAAGAGCTCCAGAGGTGAACCACTGTCTGTTATGTAACATACTTTCATACTGGAGACATGGTCCCAGCACTCACACAAGCCACAAAAAAGTCATATACAATGTTAAATATACAGTATTGTTCTGTTGTGTATGGAGCACTAAATAACCTAAATGTCATTTGGGACTTGTACCCTACACCATACTGACTGCACTTTTGTTTTTGCTTTTAATCATAAGAAAATCATCACTTTGACTTGAGCAGACCTCCAGCCCTCAGCCTCTGATTGGTCGAGAGGCGCAGGTCCCGCCCCTGGGCGGGGCTCCTGGTCGATTTCGAGGCGCGGTTGAAATACTCACTGCCGTCTCCCTGACATCCTTTAATTTGAGCCGAGCCGCCGTGGGGTCCGCACGTTCACTAAGGATCTGCCTCATTCTCCACACTAAACCGGGAGCCGCTGGGATTTTTTCACCTCCTGGCGTCTGCACCCATCCCAGAACTGGATTTTTAAAACTTGAAACTCTTTGAGGGGTTTTTGTTTTTAGATTTTGTTTTTAGTTGAGCACATCTAAAGGAAAAATGGGAGCCAGTATGTCCAGGGGTGATGTAGCTGTCGAGGGGAAAGCTGCGGCTGACCCAGCTGCTGCCAAAGCCAATGGCCAGGTGAGTTTTCCCGACCTGATGTGCCTCCAGAGCGGGCAGCACATGGCACCCGCCGCCCACCGCATGCATGCTGCATGATGGGGCCACCCAGAGGTGCCACCGCCGATCAGGCTGGTTTGAACTATTCCGGCAGCCACACTAGTTTTGGTTTTAGACACTCTTAGACTTTTTCACGTGTCATGAAAGTGTGAAACCAGTAAGTCTGACATGAGCCGCCGAGTAGCACGATGCCCACACGAGCCTCTTTTGTTAATTTGTGTCCCCGAAGGGGACAATCGACTCGTAAAACTCATTTAAGGACGACGTATTTTGATGGTGAAGGTTTTTTAGAGGAGGTTCTCTCTCATGAGTTGCATGTATTAAGTCATGCAGTCATTCTCACGTCGAACAAAAGATGCGGGGCAAACGGTGCAAAGGATGCAAATGTGCTCTGCTGGAGGCGCATTCGCAGTTGCACACAAAGCTCCAATCGGCGCCAGTCTAAACCAGATTAAGCCGAGCTCAGCGCAGTGTCTGTCTCCAGCTGAGACAAAGAGATGGACATTTTTAGGATGTGCCTATTGTTTTTTGGTGGATTTGTCATTAGGCTATGTGATGCTTATCACTTATATCCCGTATAGTTTAATTGGTCACCTTTTAATAAATCTCGCCAGTGTTAACCAAGTTGAGGCCGCTGTGTTGAAGGCTGTGGTCAGTTCAGATTGACCTTGGCTCTGCTGACACAGTATTGTGTCCAGACTGGTCCAGGCACAGCAGACAGCCAGAGGAGCTGCAGGAGCGAGGTTTCACGGGGATTCCTTTGTTCCCAACTTGGTTAGTGTGTTGACGCGCGGACGGTGCACTACTGCCCCCGTGTGTCCGACCAAAGAAGTGCGAACAGCTGTTGAATCGCTCTGCGAACCACTGTCTGGGCACACAGCCTGTTGTGCAAAGCATGGATTAAGCATAGTAACTGGGCTAATGCAGGCCGATCACACACTGGGCTTTCTCACTCTGTTTCTCACTGCGAATCACCAGCACTGACTCCCTTTAACTCAGGTTGATTTTGGTAGCTCTTGGGTTTGAACCAGTGACTAATGAAGTTTTTCTTCACAGGAAAATGGTCATGTGAAGACTAATGGAGACGTCTCTGCCAAACCAGACGGGGATGCTGCTGCTGCAGATGGTAACGGCAGTGCAGAGCCAGCCAAAGAGGGAGAGGCCGGCACCGGGGATGCCATCGAGCCTGCTCCAGCTGCCGAGGGCGAACCTGCCAAGGCTGAGGGTGAGCCTGTGAAGGAGAAGAAGAAGAAAAAGTTCTCCCTGAAGAACTCCTTCAAGTTCAAGGGCATCTCCCTGAAGAAAAGCAAGAAGGGCAGTGAGGAGGGCAAAGAGGAGGCCACCTCGCCCACAACTGAGGACAAGCCCGAGGAGAACGGCCATGCGGCCAAGGAAACCAAAGAGGAGACGCCAGCTGCAGCTGAGGCCAAGGAAGGAGAGGGAGCAGCAGCAGCAGCTGCTGAAGCTGCTCCAGAGGCTGAGGCCCAGCCTGCAGAGGAGGCCCCTCCCACAGAAGCAGCCCCTGCTCCCGAGGCCCCCGCTGAGGACACGACACCTGCAGCCTCTGAGCCCGAGGCCAAGGCAGAGTGACTGCACACTGCCAGCACCTGAACTCATTTTCCAAGATTAAAGTATATAAATATATATATGAGAGACTCGTGCCACGTCCTTAAAGTTCTAAACAAAATGACAAAAGAAGACAAGGATTTATCACGTTTGCTGATTCAACCACCAGTTCACTGCCTTTTATTAGTTCTTCGACAGGCGGAATTCACCGGGCCCTCTCATGACGAAAGTGTCTGCTTGTGTCGCCCCTCATGGTACACAGAGACTGGCGTGTGGCAAAGGTAATGGATTGGATGTGAAGCAAATCAGGAATACTGACTTATTTTCCCAATTCATGGAGAAGCATCCTTGAAACAGCGTGGCAACCCTATAACATTTTATTTTCTTTGTCATCTTTTGGGATCTTCTAAAAATGTCACTGTTACGGAGCGGGGCAGACCATCTCACTCGAAATGACTGTTATATGGACACATAAACCTTTCAAATGAGCATATTAATTTTTAGAATTCTACATTCCTATGTTTTACCCCAAAATTTCAAGTATTTTGTCATGTATAGAAAAGTGAAAAACAGAGGAGGGGAGTTGGAAAAGATCTGTCTTTTGTTTGTGCTTTTTTTTCTGGCTAAAACCACATCAAGCTTCTTGACTATTGCAGTGTTCACATTTCAGAGTTTATGATGCAGGGGTGGGGATTGTGTACAAAAATGTGAGCTTTTTATCTGCCAACTGTCTCTGTAAATATGTTTGGCCAATTATTTTGGTTCTCTTTATTTTGCTATCGTTTTAAGATGTTAATGGTTTTATTGTAACTTTTAATAAGGGTAATAAATGTTCGATCCCCTCTGACTGTCTCTGGTGACTCGTTGAACCTTAACTTATGTTTCATGCACACAACAGCAGGAACTAAAATCACCATTTATTCTCACACAAATTTCCATTAACAGTATTGGCACTAGGTTGGTGTCTAGACATGTTGATGATCTTATGTAATGGTTCAGCAGACCAATAAGTCATACTTGAGAAAAATTGCATCATCAAAATGAATATTACATAATTATTATAGTGATGGATGCCCAAATGAAGCTAATTAAATGAGTATTTAATGGGATCATAAGCACGAAGCCCATCAAATCCTGAAACTGATGTCACAGTTTGTGAAGTATTTAACACAATAATGCTTTATTAAAACTACGTCATGTGGCTGATTCTTTGACAAACATAAGCGATAAAATAAGAGAATTTTTTTGAACTCTGATAATTTCATGATGTTTGGCGCCATCTGGTGGTGTAAACAATTTGTTACACAAATAAAAAAGAATTCATGGGAAAATGACAGAATCCGTATATTTAAACTGCATCCTACATTTGTAATGATGAACTTTACTGTATACATAGGCTCACAGACCAAGTAAAATGTGTTAAATTAATTGTAAAATTATTGCAGACATATAGGCTATTAATACTAATAGCATATAATGGACATGTTCATACTTGGAATTGTGCGATTTATTCCATTGTGTAATTCTTTGCAAAATATTGGAAATTTCATAAATTCCCAGTGACGTTTGCTCACAAAATTCATAGGCAACCAGCGCCACCTTGTGGCCAAACACAAACCATACAAGTACATTCTTAGGAATTGCTTAACTGGTTTGACAAAACAAACAAATCTGAGCACGTATTTTACCAGTGCGTTATTAAATAAAATGTTTTCCCTCAAACACTCACACACTGTGAGTTGGCATGTATAGAAAATAAATATGTATAAATATGTGAATGAACTTTGTGAACATCTTATTTCTCATGTACTACAATTTATTTGAGCAGAATTTTTTGAGCATATTAGAATCTCCTTGTGACTCTAAGAAGAAGATTGCTGGATATTAAGAATCACCCCAAATCAGTCACAACCTTCTCTGTTAAATCCAGATTACACAGCCTTCTTTTAGGATACATTTATTTCTGCAATGTAATACAACTATTTCATGGTACAAACAGACATGTATCACATGTCTTCTTGTGGCTTTGCCCTGTTTGTTTAAAACTATTATATTTCCATCTTATCTATTTCCATCTGAGTAACAAAGAAAGTTCTGTACAATATAAACACAATATAAAAAAACATTTCAAGATACACTGGTAAACACCATGTATCTTCCACTGAGATAAAAGCGCAATCCCTGATTTCAAAATGGAGTCAGCAAGAATTGAGATAAAGATACGGTTCCCAGCAATTGTATTTTCCATAGAAAACTCTTGTGGGCAAATTGTTTCATCTTGTTCAACACAAGATCCAGCATTTTAGACTCTATGAGCTCTCAAGTCCTATAGTGTTGTGGTGGTGCACCCTTCCCTGATCTTCTCCTTCCTGTTTAGGCTCAGCTGGCTGTCTGTCAGTGTGGGGTCAGTCTTTCTGTACTGGGACCGTGGAGGGGCAAGGGTGGTCAGCTCGTGTTGCTCTGCGAACATTCTCCTCTGGTTATCATGGAAGCTCTTGAGGCGTTTGCTGATGCGTTTCCCGATCAAATAAAACATCTCGCAGATGCACATGAAGATACACACAGCACTGGACACAACCATGAACAACATAAAGATCTTCTTCTCCGTGGGCCGGCTGATGAAGCAATCTACGGTGTTTGGGCACGGGTCCAGGGCACATTTGGATAGTCTGAAAGATAAAGATGATAGGTAGAGTTGGGATGTGGTATACACAAACCAATGTAAATCACTGTAGTTTAATAATAATCACATATATAAGAAAAGGATAAAGGCAAGGGCAACACATATTTTATCACTCTCTCTGCACAACATAAAAAACAGTTTTTTGACAGTCAGTGGACTGATGTATAAAATGGCCTTCCTGAAAGAATCACATGAAAATTCTGTGTAAAATATTTTTTATAAATTTTAGAAGATAAAAAAGAAAACACAAAGTATCCCAACCCGTGACCTAAACATGTACACTCCAGCTTTACCTGGGTAGGTCATATCCGTGGTACATCCTATAGAGGATGTAGAGAAAGGACATGTCAAATCCAGCCTTGAAGATGAGGCTGAGCAGATAGGTCCACCACAGCCCTCCTCTCTTCTTCCCTGGGTTGGCGTAAAGGTGTGATCCCTGATGCTCAGCCACATACTTCATATCTTTTCCTTCTCTGAACTTGACGTGAGCGATGACCATGAGCGATGGGCACGTGACGAAGATTAGCTGCAGGGCCCACAGGCGGATGTGGGAGATGGGGAAGATGTGGTCATAGCACACGTTGGTGCATCCCGGCTAGAGCAGAAACAGAGATAAGAAATTCTAGTTTTACTGCAAACACTGTTTGACTGGAAGCATGGAAAAGTATCACCTTTTTTTTAATTTCTAATAAAAATAAAATTTCAGAAATACACATGAACACATGAATCTCTGTCATAAAATTAACATTATGGGAAAAACACAGGGAGCAGCCAGCAGCATGCATAGATGGACATGTGCTCAAACCAATACATCACTTTTGCCCAAAAGCTAATTTGCTACAAAAAAAAAAAAAGAGTATGCTGATGAAATTGACATTTTTCGTTAATTGCCTGAGTTTACGTCCTAAAATCTTCATAGGCCTGTAAGGTTGAATATGTCTGATACAGTGAAATCAGCTATGACCTAAAGACTCATCATGAATCATAGAGTCATCATTTGTGCACTCCTTCTTTTAGATTTATTATCTAAATATACAGTCAGTATAGAAAATCATCCCTCCGCCACTATCCAGCACTACCCCAGAATCATATGTAGTTTTAAGACATATGGTAATGACATGACAGGTAATGATATGTCTGTCCAGTTTCAGAATTAAATTTAAATTTGCGATCGTTGTCATAACGATTAACAATTAATAACAGAAAGCTGAAACTCATGAACACAGGTTAATGCTCCCATCTGAGATCTCTCTCTATATATATTCAGTATTTATAGAATGATTTACTTGTGTACAGATTTAACCTCCTCCTCTTACCTGTCTTGTGTTGCAGACGAAATCTCTGCTCTCGTCCCCCCACACCCTCTGAGCCGCCACCACGAACACCATCACCCTGAACACGAATACCATAGACAGCCATATCCTCCCGAAGGCTGTGGAGTATTTATTCACCCCACTGAGGATGTTCTCCAAACCCGACCAATTCATCCCTTCAGCTGCCTTGCCAGCCGGTGTATCAGCCTACACACCCTGAAAGAAAAAAGAGCAAACTTATAAAAGTCAGCTATGGCGCAGTTTTGGTATGTGTATGCCACTCCTTAATGTTTCTAACATGTCAACACACCAGTTCTTGCTCGGGCATGCTTGAATCATGAGCAATGGCCTGCCCTTAATCCATTTATAGAGAGAAAAAGATTGAGTTTTCTTGTGTTTGTAAAGCACATTGTCACAAACTGAAGCTAGAAAACTTCATTTAATGGTACATAACTTATTACTGGACTCTGAATTTTATCAGCCTGTGTGGTAATGAAAGTCCACGCTCCAGTAATGAGAACAAGGCAAATGCAGGCTGGAGGAGATATACCCATGTGATGCTCACAAGTGGAAAATGGATGTCTTTGTCAGCTGGCACTGAGAGATAAGGACATTAGTTTTTGTTGCCCCTAGCCTGGCATTCAAAACACAGCGTTTGCTTAGGATGGAGCTGTCAAGTTTGGTCTGTTTTTTTTTTTTTCAGAAACTACAGCATGTGGCCATACCGGCTTGTCAAAGCCTGATCTCGTCACGTCCCAGAAGCAAAGCAAGGCCAGAGACTACTGGGAATATCAAATACCACACTGTGACTACAGGACACTTCACCCATATTGCCTAGTATGAATGTGGTGTGTTGGGGGTGCTCAGAGGGGCCAGTGGCACAGATTGGTAGCCTCACTTCTGTCAGTCTGCCCCAGGGCAGCTGTGGCACACCACCAGGCTGTGGCGATCCTACAGTGAAAAAAGTAAAATCGGGGGGAATGCCCCCAGGAAAAAAAAAGTCAGCTCTCATGCCGTCCCCCCACGAAATGCCACCCCATGCGGCTGCCCTGTCAGCCCTTGCCTAGGACTGTCCCTGCCACCAGATGTAGAGTGAATGAATAATGCTCTATCCAAAAAAGCCCTATATGAATCCAATTCATTATTATTCCCATCCCGATTTCCCAATTATGTGTCACAGCAGACACTCGAAACACTTTGATCAGCCTTTGTCATGCTCTAAGAGAGTCACAGGTGAGTTCATCAAATCATAATGTGTGATCAGCAGACAACTTTATTTATCTCTTAAAGTTGACATAAAGATCCATGAGGTTTACATGAATAGTGAAAATACTGTTTCTTTAGATGTTAACACAAGTGGTAGCTTGATATGGTCCTTACTTTATTTGTCTTTTACCGTTTGTCAAATTTTTTTTTAAATAGTCAGGCTATGCAAATACTTTCCGTCAGCTTCCGCTTATACTGTATATCTGCTCAAATCAGTACGTTTAATTTGTTTCTTTGCTACTCATCTACATCTTATGCATCAATACCTGATTATTAATATGGAAATAACTGTGATCTAGTCAAAGTTGGCTAATGAATGCTTTAAAAAGTACTTATCAATTGTTTTTTCATTTTGCTTAACTATTCACGTCATTCCAATACAATGCAGGCACACTCAAGTACATGATCTGAAAGAACCTTAAGAATATGTTACAACACACCTATAACTATTATTTCTATTCAAGAAAGTCCACATGGCTATTGCAGAGCCATTCCTGGGCCTGTTTAGCCTGTGCCAGACGCCCCCCCAGTGTTTAGAAATATGACTCACATGTTTAGATTGGAGAAACTATTGACGAGCAAATGCCTACGGTACATCTTATTTTCTAGACTGTTGTTTCTATGCTAAAAGTATCCATCTCTCACAACAATTATATAAACGTGTGCTTTTAAAAACAACCATACTACATTTAGCTTTTACTAATGTCTTTATTTAGCTAATGACTAATGTCTATTGCATAAAACACACAGACTTTTCTTGATAGTCAAAAAAGTAAAAGTTGTTGCCTAATCTGTTGCCTAATTGGTCTAATCTGACTATACTATACAACATAAGCCTACTTTTATTTATTTTTTAAACAAAGGCTTATCAGTGAGTACTACAGCGCATATGCTGAGACCAAACATCTGGTAAGTTATAGCATATTGTTTTGATTGTACATTTTTTTGAATATATGATTTTAGCCTTACCTTTTGAAGAAACCTGGCTCCGGTAGTGATAGTTCTCTCTAAGTTAGAAGAAAAATAAAGACATTTTCATTCTTCAACTTTCAGCGTGTAGTTCTTTGCTCTTCCAGCTTCTTCTTGTCTCCTCCCTCAGGTTCAGAAATCCTGCCAAACCAGATTCATCAGCAGCAACGTCACACACACAATTGTCATCTACATGCCTCGTCTTGTAGCACACACTTCCCCCTCCCATGTAAAATAAAACCTTATGAATAGGTAAAGAGACTCTTGCTTTATCTTTCACGGTGTAAAACCATTTTACCCCTGACAACGGTTTGGGAAACCAGAAGAAAATTAGGAGAAAGAAGAGGAAGGAATGAGAGGCACGCCCTTGCTGTGGTCATTACACAGATGTTCCACTGGGTTTTCCTTTCTTTGCACTCAAGAAGATTTACTTTGAGAGAGTTGAACTTATACATGTCCTACAACAAAGCTCAAAGAAGCAAAATGTGAATGAAAACGGAGAAGCAGTATAGACTAGCTGTAAAACGGTCAGACAGGATTTTGTTGGTGCCACCAGTAACAAAAAGAATCCTAGTAAGAAACCACACCACACTGTTTAACAGTGACAGTAGACAGTGTTAGTGTTAAATAACTACTGTATCGGTGTTAACCACTGACACTACTACACCCATTAATGAAACTTTCATTAGCTGAGGCTTAGGCTATTGTCGTGAGTGTACAACAGATGGCAGCAAACACTTACACCATGGCCTTGTCTGTTCTGCTAAAATGTGGCCTAGCACACAAGCTGGGATCTTCATCATAAGCCCATACCTGGAAAAAAATATATGCCAAATAATTTTGGGGAAAAAACAAACATAAATAAACAGAAATTTTGTTTTACGCAACACCGAAAATACAATTAATGAATAAACCAACAGGGAGAGTTGAACATGTTCGGTAAGTCGTATAAATGAACAGTTCACGCGGTTTAATGTCAATATAGCCAAATGTGGATTATGTGTCAATACTATGGAAGAATGGTGAGACCTCCAACTGTAAGTCCTAAAATACATCCAGGGTCCAGACCACAGACTATTACCTGACTGCGGCTCAAAATCATGAAGAAAAAATACCGGAAGTTACGTTTGATTCACCAAAATAAAAGCTGATATCGAAAAGTCTTTTTAACTAATGACCGGAAGTGGTTGCTTCTGCCTGTGGCTCCGTGCGGCGCGTTTGACATTTTCAGCTCATCATGCATACCTTGCATGCTCTTCTTTACCACTAAACCGCATTTGTCGCTCACGGAATACTACACTCAGTAAGTAATTTTAAGATACATTTTTTACTGTATTACATTTACAGTAGTTCTTGTGTATGCTACACATGTGTTTAGTCACAACACACCGTGTGAAGTGGTGCGTTTATGGAGACCGGTGGATGCTTCAGTCTTAGCTGTATCATCACGAGCTGTTTTCCTCCTATACTGGATGTTGACCTGGTTTTATGACCTGGATCATGGATCTGCCTTATGTGGTCAAAGGGACAGTGGTTGTGATTTTATTTATGTTAAAGCCTATCCCTTTTAGTCCTTGTTACATCCCTCGTGAAAACGCCACCTGCGTGCATTTTATTACATATTTGAACCCCGTGAACCCAGTCGCTGCTAGCGTTAGCTTCAAGGTAGCATCTTGACACAGTGCAATGGCAGTTCTTGAAATAACCGCCGCAGACTGCTGTCCAGGCGGTGGCTCCAACACGATTAACCCAGTAGAGTCTGCGCCAAATGTCCAGTGTTACACATTTAGCTCAACCTACGTAAACCTATTTCACGGTGTTTGTAACGATATGTATGTAGGTTATGCGCTGTTGAAGTGACGCTACACTGACCTGCTTACAACAACAGTCTTATTACACATGATCTAATGTTACACTGCGTATCCACCATGTCAGCTTTTGACAATTACAGCGTCTCATTAAGAATAAATAGTGCATTCTTGTACAAATAGTATAATCTTGTATTTGTATTTATTTAACAGACAGGCAGGTTAGCAGCATCAAGCAGACCATAGAGTATAGAGAAGCATCATCATCATCAATGGTGTGTCTACAACTAGCAGCCGGCACATTTTCCCGTGTACGCTCAATGAACTATCTCCACAGCTCACATCACGGTGAGTACTGCCCCAAGGGCAGCTGTGGTCTACACTGCTCCTTCTGTCAGACACTTGTCATCTCTGATATTACAGGCTGCATATGTATGGCGTTTGTGAAGCTTGGAGGGGAGTTTTGCCAGGCACAGCACCTACTGCTCATTGTGGACAAGTGAACAAGAGAGCGAGATACCACTGCCACTGTTGTCGAGAGGTGCGTAATAATAAGTTGGATTGTTTATCAAGAGCTTAATTTGTAACAGAAACTAAACTATATATCTTACAGGCGTTTATTGACATCCTATTGGACCCTTATGAGGAAGATTCACCTTTCAATCTCTTGCTTGTTCTGTGGAGTAGAGAAGGCTTTCCTTTCATTCTGGGAGTGTCCTGTTCACTCTCTGCTCCAATCTTTACTAATCAGGAGAAATTAATATCCTGTCTTTGCCTTTTTTTGTTGACATTGACAGTTTTAAATCCAACCCCAAAGCCAGATTTTTGCTGTTGCCAAGTAATCTTTTTCACCTCAGTCGAATCTGAAATTCCCCTTTTTTCTATCAAATATTGTAAATTAAGTGCCCCTTTTTGTGAGTGAAAATATAGTATTACTGGCTGTGACAACCTTTAGAAAAGCACACAAGAGTTTATCTTTTTCTTGTCAAAATGAATCGACCAGCCCCAGTGGAGATTTCTTATGATTGCCTGAGATTTCTCATTACACACAACCCCACCAATCAACAACTGGGAAAGTTCATTGAAGTAAGATCAGTTAATAGCCTGATGTCTTTTTAACAAAACCTGTACGGTATTTTGACCAAAATTCCTAATTTTGTTTAGGATCTTAAAAACTTTGGTGTGAACACACTTGTCAGAGTGTGTACTGCTACCTATGATAAAGCGCCATTGGAACAGGAAGGCATACAAGTCGTTGTAAGTGTTAATGCACTGTATGTCAGCTTTGTATATTTTTATTTGTGATTAAAAACACTTTTTTTTGCAGGATTGGCCATTTGATGATGGCTCTGCCCCACCAGAGCAAGTGGTGGATGATTGGCTCCATCTGCTGCAGACCAAATTTAGAGAGGAGCCTGGATCCTGTGTGGCTGTCCACTGTGTAGCAGGGCTCGGACGGTATGTTTAACTGAACATAAATTTCAGTGACATTGTTTCTATGAAACATTAAACCATATGGTTTATCATTACTGAGTGTCTTCTCTTCCATATTGTAACCACTAGTGCTCCAGTTCTGGTGGCTTTGGCCTTAATTGAGTGTGGGATGGAATATGAGGATGCAGTGCACTTCATTAGACTGTAAGTATCTTCAAGTCTAACTTTTTTTTTTACTGTTCTTTAATGGTTTATGCTCAAGGTTCTTTTTTTTCCATCAGGAAGCGCCGTGGAGCTTTCAATGCGAAACAGCTCTTGTACCTGGAGAACTACAAGCCTAAACTGTGTTTGCGCTCCAAGGATGGTAATGGACAGAGCTGCTGCATACAGTAGGAACTATGATATATGCAGCACATGTGATGAAAGCTAAGTGTGTAGGATTTAAAAGAGTTCATAGTTTTAATTGGAAACATTTATGCAAGAAGCAAAAACAAAGTGTATACGTTATTATTATAATTATCCCCAATTGAAGAGAGTCCTTGTCCTCTTTTATTGAATATGTAGCATACAGTCACAAATAATTCACTGTGACACTGTAAACGATTCCTCGTTTTCTGATCTAAGTTTCAGAGGTTTCCTCGTACAGAGTAGTGCAATTGTATTCCTTAATTGCAACATTTTGTTATGCAGTCAAAAATCAGCACAATTCGTGTTATTGTATAAAGTGCATATGCCTATTGTATGCGGATGCACATGTGAAAACTGCTGTATTAAACTGTACTATGGTCCACATTTGTACCGTACCTACTCTATGTCCAAACCCAGTGCTTGGTCTGCTTGTTGAAATTATTGTGAATGTTTTACACTATCCAACATCACAACAGTAAAGGCCAACTCACTCACGTCGAATGTATTTAGAAAAGACTATCAGGGTTCCAGTACAGTGTCCGATTGGCTCATATGTCAACTGAACCATACATGTCCTCTTAATGGTAGATGTGCAAATTACTTCCTGCATAACTACTCTGCTATAATAGTAGGTAGACCTGTTTGTCTGCACTAAAGAAAACACAAATGTGGCCAAGATATGTACTTATAGAACAGTTTCTTCTATTTCTCTGCTTTTATCACCACCGCTACAATACAGGCTGTTGTATGCTCTGTGTCAACCTCTACCTATAGCTATCTTTGCTAGCTGCTACATGTGTGTAAGAAACTGTTGGTCTTTGTGGAGTCATGTTTATAGGTTGCATTTGAGACCCATATATTCTGTTTATACATATTTATTTATACCCACCGTCTTTCTTTGTGATATGGTGTCTGCTGGGGGAAATGCTCTTAGTGTCTTCTGATTAATAAAGTGTTTAGTAATGTAATTTTTCTATATTTCTTCATTATTATTATGAAAAGAGCACAAATAACTATGTTCAACAACGGGCTTTAGACAGGATATCTGTGTGCACCAGTATGTTGGTAGTTGCATCGGAGACACATATAGCTCTCATTCATTCACAACTACAGCCAGTAGGCCTATAGATAAATCAATGATTTTCACATGGATGTCTGGCGATGGCAGGAAGTCTAAATCCAGGTCAGCTCGCTTAGAAAATACACATTTGTTCAAATACACAAAAATCCATGCCATGTTCCGGTCCTGTCGACAGAAAAACTGCATGCGTGATGTAGGACTATAGTGGGCTCAGTTGCTGCAGCCCAGTGCGCCGCTGGACCCGGCCTCGTGTGACGGGATATTGCCTTGGGCGGTGATTGGAACTGGTTGGTGCGTGTGTGCGTGATCGTGCACAGTCTCCATGGCTTCATTTGTAAATCAGTAGTTGCTGGACTGCTGTGTTCAGGAGTTCGGGGATCAGGCCAAAATAGTTGCCGAACCACTCCCATAAAGGTCATTATAATCTCTCAGACACTATCCACCAACATATTTCTCTGATCCGTCACCTCAGAAATGAAAAGGAATGCGTTTTCCTAAACATGGATTTAAATTAAGCCCCGGCAGAGTCTCATGGAACCATAGACTGGATAGAACCGATGGCTGATTCACAGTTAATTAGTTATATCGACTGACTTTTTGAGTCTGACATCCATGTAGCTATAAGGATACTTGACTGTGATTTTAGTGAACAGTAGAGGGCGCCATTGCAGTGCCTTTATTTTATTGTCACTTAATTATTGTAAAAATATTAAAATGTTGTTTTACTTTTATTTATTTATTTATTATTATTATTTATTATTGCTGCGTGATCATCTATAGTCTATAAACGCCTGTGTGTTGAAGGATTCAGTCTAATTAAATGTCAAAAGCCTTGACGCAATAAGCATATTTTAAAAAGTTATTATTTGCAAATCTTGGGTGAAATTCCTGCTGCAATGATCACGGTTTAAGATCAAAATACTATCGATAAATTGAAGGTAAATCACTCAAGTGCACTTAAGGTAATCACCAGAAAGGGGAGCCCACGATTTAAACAACAAAATTGCCAGTTTTTATTCCCAATTGACTTTCAAGGCACACATTCTTTCAATTGCGAGTCTTAAATGGCGATGAAGATGGATGCGAGGAAGAGGAGGAGACCCTCGGCGACAAGAAGAGTTGTCTCGACGGATGACCCAGTTAACCCCGCGCCACACCGGAGAGACGCGCCATCAAAACTGAGACGAAATCAATGTATTTCCCGTGCGGCGGCAGCTGTTTCCAGAGGTTCTGTGTTTCCTTTCGGGGGTTTAGTGTAGAATACAATAGCACCTACGGAGAATGAGCGGCACACTGGGCTCGAGGAAGGAAGAGGGAGGGCTTGTGAGAGGAAAGTGTTGAGTAGACTTTTCTAAGCATCTGGATCTCGGTTTGGAAGAAGAAAGAGGGGTTGGACGTAAGGACATTTACCTCAAAGTTAAAGTAAATAGTGGAATTAGCTCAAACGAAAGAAGACGAAAGCAGAGGAAGACAGGAGGAAAGGAAAAGTTTAACATTGAACGCGGGCGCACAACTGGAGCATTAATGTTACCGGTGAGTGTGTTCATTGGTTTTACGCGCAGGGAATATGAATCTTCAGTCAGCACGCGGTAGCCTATTGTAGATTTGTTTAATCAACCGGATTTAAGTGGTGTCATATATAAGCTTCTGTAGCCAAATGTTTGATATGGCCACTTCCAGATTAAGTAAACTACTGTACTTTGTGCTTCTGATAAAGAGTGACTCACAAGGGCGAACGTGCACTTTCTTAAACCAGGACTGTGCTTCTGCTCTAAGATGAATGGTGATATGAAAGTGATTGTAGATTGGAGCTTGTATTACTGTAGGTCTTAGCTTCTTACAGTCTGTGATATAACCTGAACATAATTAAAAACCTTGCAGTAGACCCATGTAATCATTTACTGGTGAAATTCTTAGTTTATCTGTGTTTTTCTGTGTTATCTAAACAAAATGTCTTTTGACCCAGTAATTGTCTCAGCAACCACCTGTGGCTTCCTTCCTCCAGTGTCCAATTAAACAAATGAAAATCTTACATTCCCACTGTAATAAAATCATAATGACATAAATGCAAATCTTACTTCATGAGTTGAACGATATGAAAATGAATCAACCTGTTGTAAATTAAACATGCAAGTTTAAAAAAATTAGCTACATGGACTTTGCAGGGATAATCTTAAACTGTATACCGCACAGCAACTTTGTCCAATTCATCAGGTCCCCAAGAAATACGTAAACCATTTGTGTTCCAGTTCAGAGCCTTTCCTTCCTCTCCCTCAACCCAAAAACACTGCACCTCTTTGTGGCCGCTGTCAGATGGGGACAATGTACTAAAGAAGATATAAGGTTGTGTTTACTGCTATGGAAGAAAAAGCAGCCTATTCCGCAACCTTTGACCTCTGGGGTTTAACTCTCATCCCAAATACATTACATTTTTCTTATACGCTTTTAAGTTTTTCTGCTTTCTTGCAGCTTATCATTTCTTGCTTTAAAATTCAATGCAAAACAGACCGCAATATCATCTGCCAGGATCTGAGAAGCCAGCGAATATTTCCCTTGGTAGAAGTTGGCAATATTCTGACTGTCAAAGTAGTATCGGAGGAGATTGCTTTTTATATACCAGTGGCTTATGGAAATCTTTGTAGGTCTCGTGTTTTGGCGGTCACATGCAGTTCCTATAGAGACATTAGTGACAGATTTACGTGGATGTGTGTGTGTGTACGTGTTGGGAGGGAGGGGGGCACAAATCACTGTCAGCTGTCATGGTTTTAAGTAGTGCACACACAGCCCAAAAAGGCAACAGGAGCTGATGGAACAGTCATTTTGGACCCCTGGCGGTTGTTTGTTTGTGCGCATAAATTTGAGGATTAAAAGTCAGTGAAATTGGAATACATATTTGAAGGCTCATTTCAAAGAGAGTATTAAGAGTAGTAAGAGAGTTTGTCCGCTGATCCAAAGGCTAGCGGTGCGATTTCAGCTCCTACGGATAAATGCTGTTGTTGTGTCCTTGGGCAAGACACACTTCGCCCCCATGTGTCTGCGTACACTGGTGTGTGAATGTGTGTGTGTGTGAATGGGTGAGTGGTTCCTTGATGTAAAAGCACCGTGAGTGACTTGAAGATGGTGTAAAAGCGATTACAGCTGCGGATTACTGCACCTACATCTGCATATTATTGGTACTATATATCACCACCACTACCACTACTGGGGACCTGCAAGTCGTGACTTGGGCTCAAGTCAATATTTTTAGGACTTAAGACTTGACTTGATAAAATGCACTAAGACTTGGGACTCGACTTGGACTTGAAGGTCAGTGACTTGGGACTCGACTTGGACTTGAAGGTCAGTGACTTGGGACTTGACTTGGACTTGAGGCCTGTGACTTGAGAAGACTTGATGCTTGATGTTTTTAGAAAATACTTTTTTCTGTACAGTTGATAAATGCAGTGCTGAATTTGACAGGAATAATCTGGAACATGTCCCTCCGACTTCTTCGTTTGTTACTTTGGATGAAACTGAAGTACCGTGATACCCAAATGTACTACAGAAATATATACAGTACAATACATTAATATACAGTACAATACATTAATATACAGTACAATACATTAATATACAGTACAATACATTAATATACAGTACAATACATTAATATACAGTACAATACAGTAAAACAGAGGGAACTACATAGAACATGATCCTTCCATTTTAGTGCAGACTACATGAAGAAATAACTTATTTTAAATCTGAATTCTTTCTGTTCTCACCATAATGATTCACACTAAGATCTTGCCAAAACATTTAAAAAGGAAAAAAAATTCATTCCTACAACTCTTAAATAAATACTTATATATAAATATATCATGACTTTTTAAGTATAATTTAGTTTAAAATTCATATAAATTGCAAAAATCTAAGCTATATTTGGTACTTTGGTTTAAAGACTTGAAATGACTTGAAGCTCTAAGCAGCCGACTTGGACTTGACTTGGACTTATGGGCCAGTAACTCGAGACCTGACTTGGATTTGCCTGTCGTGGGACTTGACTCGGACTTGAGGTCAAAGACTTGAGACTTACTTGGGACTTGCAAAACAACAACTTAGTCCCACCTCTTCCACTACTACTACTGCTACTACTACAGTTATGCCTTTACTTCTGGTCCTACTACTACCTCTGATCTAAAGGTTTGCTGTTCAAATCTCATTCCCAACATGAGCTCAGCTGGTAGAGTAATTAGCTCCACATGGCCTTGCAGGTTGGTGGTTTGATTCCAGCTCCCTCAGGTGGATACTGTCTTGAGCAAGACACTTCCCCCTCCTCGCTTCCATTGTCTGTGTACACTGATGTATGAATTTTTGTGTGAATAGCGAGTGCATGGTACCTTGACATAAAGTACATTCACAATTTTTATTTATTTACTGCTGTATTATTACTACTACCACCACAACTACTACAGTACTGCTCCCCCATCTAATTCATCTGCTTTGCTGCAAGGCTGCTGTTGCTTAGACAGGCTTAGTTCATTTCTCCAGCGACTAGGTCAGGAATCGGAATACACTATATGGTTTGCAAGAGTCGAAAGTTGTAGACTGTGCACCGGCCAATCAGCGAAGAGCTGTGAAGCCATAACGTCAAACTCAAGCACCTGTCTGGGTCCCTTTTGTGGTACAGCACAACAGTAAACAAAGCGGTCGAAGCCATACTTTCTGTGTTGGCAATGATTCCTGAGATTGAGGATTTAAAACTGGAACAAAGAGAATGTTTGGTGAATTTTATCAAGGGGACAGACGTTATTGCCCTTCTTCCTATGGGATTTGGTGCACTACATACATCACGACCAAATAGCAGTGATTGGTTAAATAAAAAAGTACCCGCCTACTGTCGAGCGAACGATTCCTAATGCTGCGAGGTCAGACGGTTTACACAAAGTGAAACCATTACCACTATAATTGTTAAGCCTTTCACAATAATTACTATATTGACTTATCGTTTAATAAACTAGTATGTAAGCTGGAACAATATACTTTGGGGCTCAAAATGTATCATATGTGCATTTTCTTTGCAGAAGTGGGGAGAGTTTGGGTATTTTTGTTGTAATACGATAAGAGCTGTCGAGGGTTGAAAAACATTCTGCCTTTTAATGATACTATTTAAAAATGGTTTAGGATTAAAGCATTATCTTGCATTCTAGTTATTTTATCTGTGGTAGTTTTATCTGTAGTTTCGGCATTATTAGTGTTTATCTCAGTATCTCTGTAACAATATATCGTGCTTAAAAATTTGCTATCATGGTCAGCCCTATATTGTGAGCGCAAATGGTTCAAAACATTGTTGACAGTCTTTTTCAATAATTAGGCTATCCTGAGACCAATCCTTCACTGTTGAAAAGTTTATTTGCAGGTGTGGCTGGAGTAGCAGTGCGGTGGTAGCTCTTTTATTCTTAGAGCATGTGCAACACTTTTCTAAATTTGGTTCAACTATAAACGCGGGTGTTATTAAATCTCCCATTTCCCCCATGGCTGTTTTTATCCACATATTCAAATGCACATGTGAGAACGCCGAGTGAACCCAAAGTACACTCTAACGCCCTAACAACACATGTAAGGATTAATTGGAGTGGGTGCTGTAACAAACGAGGAGCTGGGACAGTGTATCGGAGTTGGAAAAACGCCATGGCCTCTCGCAGATGGCACTGACAGAAAATCATTGAGCTCCCAGGAGAACGTCTCACCTTGGACAGTCACTAGAGCAGCGAGAAAGACAATACATAATGAGACCTCGAAATGAAAAAATAAAATAATGGATAGATTGTGATATAATTTTAAGAAAAGGGAATATTTCTCTTTGGAAGATTATCTGGCAATACAGGATAGTGCCAAAGAAAGTTTACTAATTGCAGCCACAAGGGGTCAGGAATTAAATCTTTTTTTAAATTAGATTTATTTTATATATTAGATTGTAGTGGAGTAATAATAATAGCTTTGTAAACATGATTCAATTGGAGGAGATCATTTTTTACAGGGCAGGCGTACAGCATACTACAAATGGTACTTTTTAAAGTACTTAATATATGTTCTAATTACCATATGTCCAATTAATAACACATACAAGCTTTGTGAATAGTTTAAAAACTGCACACAATTTGTTCATTTACAGCTCTATCTAAAAAATGAGCCAAAATCAAATGGGGCATATCCTTCTCATTAGTATTGTCAGTCTTTTCTCTCCATACATTTGTCCTTGCACTAAGCAGCTGGTGACAGCAGCTGATGAGCCATACATTCCCCTACAGACCCCACTCTTGTACTCAACTCTCAGGTCTTGGAGTACAAGATGTGTACATTTAGGAAAGTAGAATGAGAGCAGATTGTTTGGTTTATGCAGTCATAGGCGCACAGATGAACTGTGTCTATCTATATAACATGACTGTTTTGTCTGCTGTGGGTGGATTGTACCGTCCTCTCGATTGGAATCACTTGGAAGGACATTTTGTTTATACAAATACTGAGAAGGCAGTTTAAGCTTATTCACACAGAGCACGTCTTGTAAACGTTGAAGTTTTACTGATAGCTTCAGCTTCAGTGTTTAACTATAGTAGTAGACGTGAAGTCAGCACCTTTTTGCAGTCACTGTACTGTGATAGAATTACTGAAAGATGTTCTACTCACTTTCTAGATTTTACCTCTACATACAACAAGGGCATGGGTTTATATTACTGGTATTACCAATAGTAATACTACCAATAATAATAATCAGAAGATATTTTGGCAATAGAACAGAAATAGGCTAATGTATTAAAATGTACGACCTGTGGTTTAAATAAAGTTTAGAATGTGAACATACGGTGAAACTATCTATACTAAATACAGTGCCTCTGCTCAATTTAATTTCTCTCCAGCGACTAGGTCAGGAATCGGAATACACTAGATGATTTACAAGAAGTGCGAGTTCTGGCATCAGGCAGTTAGCAAAGAGCCATACATTCTGTGTTCGCAACAATTCCTGAGATCATGGATTTAAAGCCGGAACAAAGAGAATGTTTGGTGAATTTTATCAAGGGGAAAGACATTATTTCCCTTCTTCCTACAGGATTTGGGAAAAGCTTAATATACCTGATGGTTTCTACAAAGTGAAACCGGCTGATGAATCAGGCTACCGAAATGTCACTTTTGTTTGGAAGAAACAGAAATATTGCCTCTTCAAAACAACATTCACAATATTATTTTTGTATTATTGATGATTTAATATATAGAGCCCACTTCTAATCAAGGATATTCTAAATGCATATGGAATCACAATTTATGGCTGCTGTAACCATTAGCCTAAGCTTGTTTATCTCACATTCAGAGTCTTGGGCCTGATTCCAGGACAGCGGTAGTCTAGTCCTGGAGGTGCCACTGTGCCTGTGTTGTTATTTCACAGTATTTCATTTAATTTATTTAGTGTCTTTCTATGTAAACCAAGAACAATTGCAGCCTTGTTTAATCGCACAACAATAGGCATGCTACAGTCTGCTGGTTTTCTTTTCTTTGCACATAGTATAATGGAGGAGTGTGTACATACACCACACATGTGACCTTGTGTGTTTGATAGTGGGACACTGCTGCAGCCACTGGACCTTCTCTGTCCTTTATGTTCTGTGTGTGTGTAACTGTGTTTGTGCGTCTAATCTCAGCCTCTAGCACTGCTTCTGTGGGACTCTGCCAATCTGTGCCTATATATATAACTCATCCAGTGGACACTCAGATCAATAAACACAAATGTAGAAATTGATAAGTATTTAAGTGTGTTGTGAAACTAAAGTAAGTGAAATGCTTTAAGTGTGGTCCAGTGAAGGTGTCTGGTCTGACCCTGTGTGACCTCAGCCCCAGTGCTGCACAACACTATGCTAAAAAAAAGTCCAGTCATGGGGTCACCCAGCTTGTTAAATACCTCACGAGTCTAGAGGACACATTCATTTGGTTGGTAATTGGCAAATACTGACTTTTGTACAATGACAGAAAGGACAGGATTCAGAATTTTGTAATGCTGATGTTTGTTTACATTTTTCACAAAGCTGTATTTGCCATAAAAGCTCCATAAAAGCGCCAGACAGGGCTGAACAATTTGGGAAAATGATCTAACTGTGATTTTTCTGACAAGCATTGCAATTGAGATAGAAAATTATTGGAGCACTCACTGGACGAATAAGGGATTACAATGTCTCATTTCAGAGTTTGTTCACATTTTGAATGTGTCCAGGAGAATTCACAAAAAGACTAAAATATTAACAGACAAAGATACAATATCAGAATCACATTTCTTGTTTGCACAGATCTGAACTACAGGGTTAGCAGTTTTTCATGCAGAGTGAGACATGATATTTTGTTGTTTGTGGAGGATCTGTATTTCAAAAATGCCAGCCTTTGCTTTTTTGCTATAGTTGCAGTTTGAAATAGCTATTTCGTTTTGATTGTCACTGCAGCTGTAGCCTTAGAGGACAGCATTTTAAAACTATGTGATGTTGATGGACCCGTGTTTTTATCCGAATCCATTCAAAGGCCCAGTCCAGCTCATCTCATGCAGATGACTCACTGTTTCCTCCAGGCCCCTAATGGTTTTGCAGTGTCACATAAAAACACAACGTATTAAAAGATAGGCTAAAAGCTCCATCCGAACTGGAGAGTGTCTGGCAGGATTTTATCAGTTATTATCAGCCGGATTGCATACTCTTCCTCTAGAACAGGCCTGCTTGTTTGTAAGGCGACTCCCTCTGCTCGTCCCTGTCCTCCTCTCTCACACTCTTCAGTCTATCTGCTCTGTCTGACGACCACATTTCACTCTGCCTCTCACCTAAGCACTGCACTTTCTCTCTGGAGCCCCATTCTCCCCTCAACTGGAGGCACATGCTCGGGGACGGGCACACATGCACTTCGGTGTGTGTCTCTGCCCGATGCTGCCCAAATGAAGCGATTCTTTGGCCTGGTTGTGGAGCGTCTGCTGCTTTTATCCCAGAACATCAAAGTGAATAAAAGTGGGAAAGCCAAGAAGACGAAGAAAGGCAAAACTCGGAACAAACGCAAGACTGTGAGTAGTGCAGTTGATGTGCCTTTCTGAATTATTACAGAAAGTCCGTACATTTAAAGCAACAGATACTTGTGGAGTAGTAGACTAATAACTGTTTTATCAGTTTTGAAGGATGTTGCTGCTATATGTATCAGCATCAAGGTCTGAGTAAAAAAATATGTATTTTTTGGGGGGGTTTATTTAGCTTTATTATGTTTTCTGCACGAGACAAACATGCTGTACCCCTCTGCCTGGCCTACTGACTATCTCTACCTCCCAAAATAACCCGGGTCAGCTCCAGGGGCGTTTTAGGGACCGCTGCTTGTGTATTTTTGTCTCCTATCAACACATGGCTATTGTGCATTGTGTGACCTCGTCCACAAAAACTATTGTGACCGCTTCTACACATCATCCATTGTACTGGATTTGAAAGAATTGTCTGTCAGTTTGTCAGTCTTTGGCATGGTGTTGAAATGGCGTATGTTGATGTATATACACATGTAACACTGTATGAGTAACATTATATGAAGAATGCGAGAGGGGTCAAGTCTTAGTGTATTGACCTGTTCTCGACTGCTTCTTTCACTCTCTCTTGGAGCCTGTTGACCTGTTTACATTATATGAGGTCTCAGGTGACCCCTGTGTGATCATGACACATTTAGCATCAAAGTTGGGTTGACATTTTCTATTTTCTAGTCTGTTAGTTCTACTGAATTTGCTCAGATTTTCAACCATGTTTTTCTTTTTATCCTAATTCTTAAACACAGTAGATCAGGTGAGCAGATTTTCAAAATTACAAAGTGAAACTCATCCGTTTTAGAGTGGTGTCTGAGTCTGAGGGACTTCTGTCTGTGCAGCTGAATGAATTTTATATGATCTGCTAATTTTTGTTTTAGCCAAATAAATAACAATATATGAATAGGGATGTCTGATCACCCTGAGCTAACTGCAAAGCTACATATTTTACAACAAAATGCATTTAGTGGGAGTACCCCAAGGCTCCACACTAGGACCAATACTGTACATACGAGCACATTTTATTGTGTTACCGAAAAATACATTTAAATATATGGTGGTGTTTGCAGTAAAGATTTGTAATGATTTATATGAAACATTCAAACCCCAGTGTGGTTTACTGTGGCCTCGTGGTTAAGGCCTACACGATTAGCTGTCTTAAAATGACTTGTGGTCTGCTTGAGCCCCTGCTGTGTCACTGCAGTGTGTGTGGTGGCGTGCCTCTAATCCAGGCTCAACACAGTGGGCTCTGGTTCGTGCGTCTGTATGCAGCTCCAGATCTGGAACAGGTGTGTACAATGCTGTGGGTTAGTGCCTGTTATAGTCGGGTGACTGTTAGAGAACAACTAAAATGTTTGTGTCACAGGGAAGATGAAAGATTAAGTGTGCATGTTTAGGTCTGTGGTACTATCCCAGATTAGCCCAAATATATCTGTCTCCTGCCAACTGATGACCAGACATGACTTCACTGGACCTATGACATGACATTACAGAAAAGGCTATTACTTTTATGGCCACTTACAGTAATAATGCTTTCAGCTTTGGAAACAAAATGTAATGGCCTACTTTTCCCCCACATACAAAACAGACAGCTTTGTCCATATACACATATTGTAATTGTATGTATACTTCTTGAAAGGTTAAAATAGAAACTTGGTAACCTGATTTTCTCCAACATAAATACCTGATGAATCTTGAAAGTTTGTTGAAAATGTCTGTTAAGATGTACACATGAATTGAACCTTGTTTGTTTTTGTCCTCCAGGTGATCCTGACAGTTTACCTCAATGACGCCCAGCAGATGCTCACCGAGGTCCCTGTTACCCCGGCGACCAGAGTAGTGGATGTGGTGGAGTACTGTAAGGAGGCGGGCGAAGGGGAGTGCCACCTGTCCGAGGTCTGGAACGGACATGGTCAGTAAATATATATATATATATATAACTACCACACTAAAAGAAAGGTTTGGCCCTATCTCGTAATGGTTTCAATCTCCACCCATAGTAGTTTATTCCTGTGGTATTCAGCCATAAAGTCAGTGAATGAACAACCTCATCTTTTCACTAAAATCTATCAAATTATTTATTGACTGTCTTCAGAGCTGTAATTGGTCATGCTGTTGATGAAGAGTATTGCTTGCCAAGGGCGTAGGTTTGCATAGTGGGGACATGTCACATATTTAATATTTGGGGAAGACAAAATAGTCCCTACCAATATTTACCATTTTATTGTAATAAACAAAAATATACATTAATTCTGATGTTTATTAGACATTCTGAGATGTATTGAGTGATATGACTACAAGATTACACCTGCTGCTATTTCATTGGCTATAACAGAGTGATGTCATTGGTGGTGCCAGGAGCCTAAACTGGGGAAGCAGCAGGACAGGGCCAGCACCTGAAGATGGCGGCTTGAGCAGGCATGAGTGAAGACGCTGAGCACCAAACTTTGAAAAACTTTTCAAAAGGAACTTACTTGGCTTCATCTTCAATCAAACTTGTCTTATAATGAGTCGCCGTGGAAAAAGAGCACCTATCACGACAAGTGCACCTCCCAAATGGAGCCCTACTCGTGCGCTGTGAGCAGCCCGACTCTACTGACAATGTTCCATGGAAAAATGTCTGAACATGACCTCACAAAAAAATCTGCTACAAACTTCTACATCACTGTTATCCATTAAAGAATTATTTTAGAAGAACAATGGACACAAATTGAAAAATTAAACCACCTCTCACTTATTTTGGACTGAAACTGTGTGTTTTTGGTAAGAATTCATAAAACATAGAACAGGGAGATTAGTTGATAATGTCCCCACCAAAGCTGAAACCAAACCTACAGCCTTGTTGCTTGCAATAGTTACCACATCTTTGATTCAATTAATAATGACCACCAGAATACAATGCATTTAGGTAGATTAATTTGTTAATTCAAATATTTGGCAGGTGTCTACAGATGCAAATGATTTAGAAGACAAATCATTTATCGTCACTTTAATACAGTGTATGATGTAAGAAAAATTTTTGTTTTGTTAGTCATTTCTTGAGATAGTGGAGTTAATATCTTTGTGGTAGCTATGTACAAAAAGTCAAGTTTTTCTCATGTTATTAATGTTGATTAGAAATATGTCAAACATTCCTTTCTTTTTAACACTATCTTTATAACAGCAATATGTCCCTTCCCAGACACATTCACTGCACTCAGTTAATCTGTATTGACTGTCTGTCCTCTGTGCATTAGTGCACACAGTATCCACACCATTCTAATCTGCACTTATAAGACAGGATAATAACTGAGACACTGGACTGCAAGCTAATAATAAACAAAACAGACATACTTAATGCAGCTATTGTATAAATGTCTATACACTGCCACATTAGAAAAATAATCTCTCCATCATGTGCAGACACCCTGAGCTACTGTGCCCATTAAAACCTGCCCTAGATTCTTCCCCTATCACAGTTGTTATGGCAGTGATTCACAAAGCAGCATGGGGCTAAGTGTTCCTCTATGGTGTGACTGAGCTATTAGATATGGACTATAAATGGGTATAGCACACTAAGCCGAAGGATAGTGCATAAATACTGTTATAAATACTGTTGTTTGGAAGTGAGAAGTCATGCCTGAAGGCCACCGGGGTTGGCCTCATTACAAGGAAGGGGTCAGGACGTTACATACAGTACATGTGTTGCCTCTGTAAGCTGTATTGATTTGTTTTAGTTATTTCTATTTTATTTGGAAGCTACTTTACTTTTAATGTGATTCAATGTCCATATACAGAAGGACAAATATAATTTTGTTTCTGAATTGGGTTAAGACTTTGGACAAGTCATACTTATTACTGTATTGTTTAATGTTTTACCACATTTAGTTACAGACTCGCAATCACATAGTCACTATAAAAATTATTTCGAAATATTTTAGCTTGACAGTGTTGAAATAACAAGTACACAGTTTCAGGTGCAATGCTGATTTAAACTAATGGGTCCAACTAATTATAGGTCCATATAGGTCCTGTTAAAAAAGACATAATTTGACATAAAGTATGACTCAACACAACTGCTTTTATTTCTTTGTCTCCTCAGAGCGAGTTCTTCCCCAGGAGGTGTTACTGCTGGACCTCCTGCAGCAGTGGGGGTCCAGACGGCCAGAGGTCAGCTTCTACCTGCGACACTGCCCCTCCTGGACACAAGGTAGTAGTGCTCCCTTAAACCCCAACGCTAAATCATGCTTGTGTAACTTCTAACGGCAACACACGGATCATCCTCACAGTATTTCATGGCTGACTGGTCACAGTGTTCAAACACACTTGTTTGTTGTGTGTTGGATAGATACACAATCACTGGTGTACATGTACTGTAAGGTCAAAGGTGGGTCGGGGCAGTTCAGTAATTAGGCAGTTAAGATGATTAGTGTTACGTAACATGGGCTAGGGAACATAATGAGGAGGGGGCACTAGTTCTTTGAAGAAAGCAAGATTAACAATTATGGTGTTTTTGGTGTGAGTGAGATACTAATTGATTCTTTGGAGTGATTTACAAGTGGGTTCAATCACCTCCATAGAGCTTACAGTTGATTTAAATATTAGGGTTATTTATTTATTTATATTTAGGGTTAAAAACACCCATTATTTTTCAGTTAGTTAATACAAAATCCAAGTCCAGCCCAGTCTAATCTGTAGTACATTAGTAGCTGCTGTGGTGGCTCCATTGACTGGTGGTGAATCTTGGAGCTGTCGGGGATTAGCACAGATTGCACCTGTCTGGTTCAACTGGAATTAAACCAATACTATTTATATCTTACACACACTAAGCTATACATAACACTGGGAACGAAAGGGGATTTTACCGCTCGTCTAGTATCTATCAGTAAATAATAGCTGCTGGGTTTGTAGTGTCTTAGCTCTAGAAAGATCATTTAGTTTTTCAAGTCATGTCCAACATCAGTTTGTCTTTTACTCAATGTCAAAGAGGTTTTTCATTCAGGAAATGCTTTATTGGTCCTATACATTCTATAGGCATGTTGCCAGGTATTGGGTCAAAAAAGCACTTATGAATACCAATAAGCCCATGAAGATAGCAAGGTCACAACATATATTCGTTATAGCATTTCCTGGAACATTCCAGTGTATGGCATTAAATTTACCTCTCTCCATAGAAACAGGCAGGTGAGGTAAGAATGCAGGTTTTTCCAGCTGACTTTGAGCAATAAAATACTTAAAGTATTGAAAATCACATAATAATCATTGATACTAAAGTATTACAACTAGATTGGTTGATATTGATACCATTCTTTATAACACCTCACAGACTGAGAGCATCACTAGCTTTGAAGTTGGATGATGCTTGAGTGTACCTGAAGTCCTGAATGTAGTTTGATCATATCACACTTGTTAACAGACAACGACCAAATGTCGAGCTCCAAGTGATACCTATTGTGGGTTAGAATTTTACAGAGAGACATTAGAATTTTTAAACAAAATATTTATCTTTGACCAGAAGATGAACAGTAACAGTTTGAAGGTAACTGTAGTAGCTGAAATCAGTGCTGCTCTACAGACAGTGAAACTAGAAAAAACTAACAGGCCTGAGATGCCTTCAGTTAGAGCACAGATGGCGATTCAGCCACCAACATCACAAAAATAATGTCTCCTTGCTCGCCTGCAGAGGCTAAAGCCAAAGAACCAGTAATGGGAAGATGCAAGAGGCAGGACAACTTTAAACTTCCCCAAAATTTGAGAAATGTTGAGGAACCCGAGGAAAAGCACATTTCAGAGATGCACGTTTTAAAGGGAGATTCAGAGCTTCATCCCGAGTTGATGACCAGTGATTGCATTATGGATGCTTTTATGGATAGCTATTTGAATCTGCCCAGCAACCTTAAGAATGAAGAAGAATGGAAAAAAGAAGCCATCTGAAAAAGCTTGAGAAAAAACTGAAGATGCTGAAAAAGTTGAGACAATCACTAATATTATAGATCATCATAATGACCATGGAGTCCTGAATGGACAGAAATGTCCTGAATTGGCAGGAATTCTGAACTCCAGGTGAATGCCATGGAAAAGACCAAAAAACCTACAGTTGTACACTTCTGTGGACTCTGGTGATCACCAGAGCTCCAGCTGTGTTACACCTGCCCAAAATGATCTGACCAACCCAACCAAAATTGGTGAGAAAAAGCAAAGAAGCACGAAAAGGCAAAACAAGAAAAAGAAGACCTCTGAAAAAAGCTCAAAAACTGAAGTCACTGAAAAAGAGACTAAAAATCATGACAATGAGAAGTCTTATTGCACTTTTCCTGTAGAGGTGACAAAATCGCCTAAGACAACACAGATTAAGCCCAGCCTTACTGGAAATGCACAAATTAACAATCCTGACAAACCATCAGTTAAGAGCTATGATGGCAGCTCCACCACCAACATGAGGAAGTAAGGATCCAAAATCAGAAAAAAAGACAAAAGTTATACACAAAACCAAAGAACTAGTGATGGGCAGATGTAAGAGGCAGGACAACTTTAAACTTCTTGAACATTTGAGGAATGTCGAGGAACTGGAGGAAAAACACATTTCAGAGAAACACATTTTCAAGAAATTTTCCAAACTCCCTCGTGAGTTGATGAACAGTGATTGTGATATGGATGATGTTTTGATAGATATCTGGACCCGTCCATTAACCGAAAGAAAAAGAAGGGGAAAAAATAAGGAAGCTGATAAATCTTTAGAAAAAATTGGAGGCACTGAAAAAGTGTCGGACCTTAAGATGATCACTCAAATCATAGTTCCTCTGACTGACAACACACACACTCAAGAGAAGAAGGAGCCTACAGTTGTAATCAAAGAGGAACCCCAATCTCCAAGTCCACAGATGATGTCCAAGACGATTCCAACTGTACAACACTTTTTCTAGAATTAACTCCATGGCAACACTGTGAGGCAGATGGCGCAGAGATGAATGGACAGGAATGTCCTGAATTGGCAGAAATTCCTTCAGCTCCTCTGAAACCTGAGATTAGTGAAGCTGAACTCCAGGTTATTGACACGACGGTGTTAAAGGAATGTCCCCCTGCACCTCTGGGACCTGAAAACAATAAGCACGAAAACCCATCACTAAAGTAGTTGAAGTTGAGTTGGTCACTAATATTATAGCTCCTCCAGATGACCGTGGAGATTTGATTGATCACACACATACTCAGAAGTCAGAGGAGCCTACAGTTGCAGTCGAGCCCTGAGATGATGTTCCAGCTGATTCCAACTGCATGACACCTGCTCAAAATAACCTCCATAGAAACATTAAATGTAAGAACCAGGACAACTTTAAACTTCCTCCACATTTGAGGAATGCCGAGGAACCGAAGGAAAAGCATATTTCTGAGACAGATATTTTCAAAGGATTTTCGAAGTTTCCTTGCAGTTTTCATTGGTTTCCATATTTAAATACTGAAGCCCATTATGACACCACTTTACCAAGACCAGCTCCATTTTGAGCAACAATTTCTTACTTTGGCAGCAGTCCTATCACCGAAACATGGAAATCTAACCTATTCTGTTTTTTTTTTCAGACATTAACTTTTAGACTTTTAGACTATTAGACCTGTGTTTCCCAAACTCTCTCTCTGAACAATTAGCATTACTCAAGTTTTAAACAATGAAAAACAGTATCAGTGTTTCCCACAGAAAACTGCTTAGGCAAGGTGGTGCTGTACTCTTTAAAGGGCCCATATTACACTATTTTCTGATCTATGTTATAATCTTGATACCTCATCACAAACATACCTGGAGTTGTGTTTTATTTCATTCCTGCTTATTAAGGCTTAGTTCTCTCAAATGGTAAACACTCTCTTCCACCTTGATGATGTCATGTGGTAATACAGGAAGGTGCTCCAATGTGTTTTTAAACTCCATACACCTTCATTAGAATCATTTGGATAGTTTCGGTTTCCCTGCTATTGCCGATCTGTGAATGAAACTAAACACAACTCCAGATATGTTTTGGAGCAGATAACAGCATTCTAACATGGGTAAAATCTTGAGAACAAGAATCAGTTTTGTGTAATAGATGATCTTTAATTTAGCACGTGTTTTGTGTAGAGCTGTACCCAATGAATCAATGTGTCTCAATGGTGTATCTTAAAATGGCTTAATATTGTTCATTTGTATGCAGGTACTCAGCAGGAGCTGGAGCAGGGCTGGACCACTGAAGGCACGGACAGCGCTAATGACAGGGTAGGTGTACTCTTACTCATGCACTCTCAAAGGCCAACCTGAGAAAAATGTGTTATGCATTTTAAGCAATCACAGGAGAGCTACTTTGCATATAAAATCATAACTGGAAAAATTGAATGTACTCGTACCTCGCATTCACTAATCCCTTCTATTGTATCCAGATTTATTCTATATGCTTTTGTTATAGCATCCATTGTTCATATGCTACAATAGAAGCCTATACATATACAGTAAGCCATGCATTTTAGCGTCCACATGCGTTTAGTCTCTCTGTGTAGCCAGCCAGATTAGCTCGCGGATTAGTGACAGTGATGATTATAGCTGGCTATAGTGAACCAAGTGAACACACACGTACACAAATGACTTTTCCAGTGACTCCAAGACCTAAATTCGCAACTATCCGCGCTTGCTAATTGGTTTGTTTTGCTGGCTCCCGTGCAAAACAGTCATGAATCATGGTGCTAAAAGGGCAGCTGACTTCATGCTCGCAGATCTATTTATCGCTAAGTGCTATTTTGGAGCGCGCTGGCAAACCCCAAAGTTGAGTTGCCTTTTGTGTACATTGGTTGTTAGTGAAAAGGGTCGCTTACTTACTCGGTCTGTGTGGTAGACTTTGTATGTGTGTGTTTGTAGTGGTCAGTCAGTGAAGGTAGGATTAGCTTGGTCCCATGACATAACCAGGCTAAGAGGATTGTTAGGCAGCCAAATGAACTCCTCCTCCATTTCTTCTCCCCTCACCTCGCGCACTTCTTCACACTTGTACAGTTCCCACTCACTAGTTTGTTCCCGTCTTTAATTCTTTTTGGATTATTCACAAGACAAACGACGTGAGATCACATAGGAAGACCAGGGTGAGTTCAAAATGCTATAAGCGTTTTTCCTTAAACTTGCCCGTGAACTTAGGAACTTTTTATTTAATATAATAACATTTAAAGTATTTATTATTTCCTGTTGTTGACCTAAATGTTTTGTCTCCTGATTTCAAGCTGTAATAGTGCTTTAATGTTTTCATTCTTGCTGGTACAATCAGTGAGCCATGCCGTACGTGAAGCTACTCTAGGCCAACGTGTGATTTCTGTTCTTGAGAAAAATTGTCACTGTTTTCACTCAGGGTGTGCCTCCATCTGTCCAAGTGTGTTTGGGTTTGACAAAATTATTTGGTCTGGCGATGTGTCACCCTTCCCTTAGACGCAAGCATGCTAAGGTGTGGCTCTAAAATGAGACATATTAGCCCAAAATACTCTTTCTAACACAGGCTAGGATTTCAATTTAAAAATGAGCTCTATTTCTGTACGTAAGTATTTTTGTAACACCGAATACTGTGGCTGAGTTGTGACTTTTACTGTGTTACCAATTTACGCTAAGTAGCTAATTTTGTAAGTCAGTGGAAAATGTGACATGGAAAATGACAACTACAGCTAAAAATAGTCATTTGTTTCCTAACGTAACGCCTTTCAACAGTTGAGGAACAAATCATGCATAACTGTGCCTGGGGTCAAGGGTCATGGTTGCTGCTTAGCTTTTTGTTTTTGCCTTTTACGTTTAAATATTATAGCCTATATTTTAATGCTGTCCATGGCACATTTTTTTGTGTTTTATTTCAGTTTGTTTTTGCATTTGTGTTTTTCTAGCATTTTGGGTTTTACTTTAACACTGTTCTCTCTGTATGAAACCTCAGTCGCGTCAGATCCTCAGCAGGACTGTCACACGGGGAGCTGGTGCGGCCTTCATGTTAACATAAATCTGGTGTTGATCCTTCAGTGTGTAACCCAACTCCCTCCAGCTGTGAGCCAGAGAGGCAGAGGTATATATTAAGATGTCAGGTGTGGCCTTTCCACAAAGCACATGGCCCTATGGTGTTGATGTAGATTAAGAGGAAGACTTGTTCAGAATGTCATTGATTAAAGATGGTAACATGATATAACATTTGGTGATCATAGGCTTAGACCACATGCTTTGATAAGTTGTGATTTTGTATTAGTGGACTTTTAGTTGCTGTTGATTCAGTGTTGACATGCGGCCTATTTTTGTCCATTCAGTCATTACTCACTATCAGAGTTTAGCAAGAATGCAATTACAGGCTTGTTGACTACAGTGAGTGTTGTCCCTTGATCTTATTTAGTCATTCTGTGTAAGTAATATAGACTATATATATATAAATGGACCTAGCAAACCTGCTAGCTGCCGCGTTCGAAAAAGGAAGTGAGACTTGTAGACTTGCTTCCGTCTCCATTGACTCTATGATTCTATTAAAATAACTGGATAGGGTGTTGCTGCTTTTAGCTGCCTCCAGTTGACATAGTGGCGACTCACTGGTACTTCAGCGGAAAATCCCCTGGGCTGAAAAAGGATTTTTCTGATAGATGCAATGTAATCACAAACTGCTTGTGTTCGGCTGATAGGGCACCTACACTTTCAAAAATGTCTGATTTTGTGGCGATTTTTGCCTGTTTTTAGATCATCAAGTTCAGTTGTCTTAAAAAACACTTTATAATCATTAGCTCCGACTCTGCTTTGCATCCATGTGTGCCTGCTGGAGAAAAGAGCACTACTGCACATGCTCGGTCGGCCCAGAGCCACCAGAAGTACCTAGCCGGGTTAAAGGCTAATCTGGAATCATGCGCCATTGAGCTTGGCCAAAAGACTTGAATGGGCGACCATTTTGAAATCCCGGGACTTCATTGACTCTGGCACAAGCCCCGGGATCTAAAAATGGCTGCCCATTCAAGTCAATGGGTCGAGCTCAATGGCGCATGATTCCAGATTAGCCTTCAGCCCAGCGAGGTACTTCCGGTGGCTCCCTGCCCATTGAACATGCGCAGTAGCGCTCTTTCCAACCGCGGGCACACGCGATCGCTCACAAGGAAAGCCGTAGGTGTCCTGTCAGCCAAACATGAGCAGTTTGGGACTACATTGCAATCTTTTTTTTGTACCAGTGAGTGGCCACTACATCAACTAGAGACAGCTACAAGCAGCAATACTCTATCCAGTTATTTTAATAGATCCATGCTCTGGTTCCAATTCATTTTGTACTGAAAAATGATCACCCCTCTCTATGTGACTGCTGTTGCCAAACTCGTCATTTTGTTCATTTGAACCCGCTCTGCATGATCCTGGATTTTTTATTTTGCTATTTTGTCCAATAAATCAAGATATGAACTTTAATAACAGACAAATCAGATGCTGTCTTTCACCAAGGTCGCTCCTGCTAGCATTAGCAACAGGTTGGATTGACAGCTAAGCGCCGGCTCCCTGCTACACAAGCGGTGCAGGGGCTCCAAATTCACCACTTTAGCTGCCAGCCTCAACAAGCTTCATTTGACTGGAGCTGAACACTATGGGTGATGTGACACTCCCTTAGTCTACTTCTTTATACAGTCTGTGGTAGGTAATTACATTCGAATACAGCTGATTTTTATTAGCACAACTATTTATTGAAATAGTGTTATTTTTACTTTCACTTTCTATATCACATAAAACCACTTTAGAGTGTTTTTTCACCCTTCTGAACAGTATGAATGTATGAGCTCATAGTTCTTTATGTTCTGCTGCTAAATCCTGCCTTTCTTTTTCAGTAGGTGTTAACTTGTCCTATGCCCAGTGACATTGTTGGTGGACGTTTAATGACAGACAAATGCACATGGTTGGTAGTGGTGGGCTCAGTTGTGGCCAGGCCCCCTGCTGAGTGAGTGGAGGGGCTCTGATAACAAAGGCTTCCTCGGGGCTCTGCTCCGGTTGGTTTGGAAGAATGTCTGTGGGCTGTTATTGTAGATTAGGAGCAATATTTTCACTGGGGGCGTACAGCAGATGGGAAGGGATGGGATTCATTACTGCCCTGATCAGAACTGAGTGTGTATGTAGCATTTGTGTGCATTTGTGTGCATAGCTCTGAGGGCACAGCACACAGTGGGGAAATGTAATACGTGCAGACTGAGAAGGTTAAACATCCTCATGTGCTTCAGATTATATGAACACACATATGAAGGACTGCGGCGGCAACATGACGCTGAGCACTCGGGCCAGTTTCTCACAATGATCAATGATATGGGCTCGAAGTAACTTTTAGATCACACTTTTCATAGATTCATTTCATATTATTTGAGCTCAGCAAATCTTCCTCCACAGAATCTGTTGGTTCTGAGTAAACACGCAGTAATTTCAGATGGCTGTCGTCCCAGAGAGACAGTGTGAAGAGGCAGTTCTTGACAGAAGCGAGTAGCTAACAGTGACAGGATTCTTGTAACCAATACTGTTGCATGTATGGCACTTTATATTAACATAATTCATTTCTATAATACTCCCCTTACTCTTTGGCTTGTCTTTTCCCCAAAAAAATCTCTTGTTCCAAATGCTGATTATTATGCATCCCTCTTGAACCACATTCAGGACTTGTTGGCACTAGATGTTTGCTTTCTGTGAGTGTAGTAAACCAGTTTAATATGCAAATGATTAAGTGACAGCTATGAACTTTGGCCTATATATTAATAACAAGGTGCTTTGTACAGAAATATGTAACTAGCTCTGACCCACAGATCCGTGCAGTCTTATTAGCATGAGCAGAAGTTTGTAACTTCACAGACAGTCTGTTCATACACTGTGTATATTATCAGTGTGTGCTGCTTCAGTATCCGTCTGACACTTGTGCTGACTGATACCATATTGACTTTATCTGTGCTTTTCCTTTCCAAAGCCTTGACCTAGAACAGAGGCAGAGCTGGAGGTTGAGCTGCTTTTATCACAGGATACAGTACAGTTACAGTAAATGCATTTGAGTGAAACGGATGCCTGTCTGTCTCCCAGGCTCTGTAGCACACATTAGGCTTTTCCCTGCTCTGGGCACATGGCATATGGTACTGTAAAGTGAAGTCATCACTCTTACCTTGGCCACTTAAACCCACTGATATTATTTTACAGAAAACATGTAAAAACTAGTAACAAATCTGCCAATTCTACAGCAAACATAGCTCAGGATCTGGAGATGGGTCTGCAGGTACTACTCT